AAAATGTGATACCTTTCCCAAAATGAATTCATCTGTCATATTCATCATCAAGTTTTGATATCAATATATGTGTACAGTGACTGGCAACATCCATATATAGTAAGCATTTCCGTTATTTACAGAGCTATAAGATTAGTGAGCTACTACCTGTTTGATGTATCCTAAATGTCCATTAGGTCATTGATTCGACACTAAAATTCATATTGTCTGTTAAGTATTAACAGCAATGGTGAGTATGTTGGGTTTAACTCTGCTGTTAACCATGTCCTTGTTAAATCAAGGCATGTTAGCCCGTAATGAGGAAGGTGAAATGATGCACGTCACAGACATACAGCAATTCTTTTAAACCCATGGACATGGGAATTCTGATGGACATAGAAACAGAAGGGTAAACCGGAATTCAAACCACTCAACAATTGTAAGTTCTTTAAACACAACATAATTAAACATAACAGGGTCAAAATCCACAAAAGCGTTCATATTGTTATGACATATCGTACCTCTATAGTTTACCATAGGCTTACGATTGTGATAAGAACGCTATGTGGATCACAACGCAGTTTCTTAATTAACATCAACAGTGAGATTCTACCTGTGTAAAGACACCTTTTCTTCATCTAGATCTATGCATATATAACATATTTTAATCAACCAGCAACACAATTGTATATCTCAAAACAAATAATATGATTTCCTATGCAAATGAATATTGTTTAAGTTTCAATTTAATCTATTAACTTCTGTAGACAATTCAAAATTTTGTCCAATGTACATAGGACATAACTGAACCTGATCAGCAAAACCATTTACTACAGAGAGCAATACATAACAAACTTGGTCAGCATGAAATAATTTTTGCAACATAATTGATGTGAACTGTCATACTAAAACTTGCAGTTTTATTTCAACAATTCTGCTCCTGCGGATATCAGAGATTGATCATTATGCAATATTTGTTGGCATTACTTTAAATATCTTGATATCTTTCCTGAGAATTTGATTACAATTCAGAAAAAAACCTCATGCATAACAATACAAAATGGATATTCTGTGCAAAACCCAAACATCTGTTATTTTCAACAGCTGCTCAATACTAAACAAGAATTCATGAATACATCAACCATGACATCCTGAATGAAGCATTATCCATTTCAAATAGGCAATGTGTATCTGTGATTACTTTACACACAACCTAAAATGACTGCAACATGAACCGGAATTATTCGATCCAGCAGCCCAGGACTAAATGAAAACTATACATCAGCACCGGACACGATTAGGAAGACTCTTACATTTACACTTAGAAAAAATAGATTTCAGTGCAGATGTTACGAGATTGGAATATTTGCTGAATGTTGTTAATCAAGACTAGATATAATTGTACATAAAGCTACAGCAACATGCCTTCAATCCGAGAGCTAATGTCATGAAAGGAAATAAAGTTCAAAAGCTCACCTTCATCATTCATATATTTGCTTTGAGAGATCCGGATTTTTACATACATAATTTCCTGAACATCTGATGACAAAAATGATAGGTTGTTTTTTTCTATTTAGATAACAATTTCTTGTGCAACCAATATTCCATCTATACTTTATTCATTTGGTGTAAAAGCATTTACACACGTTCAGTTGAAACTAGCGGTCAGGAGATGACATATCCCCTCTTTTTTCGCCATTTAGAAAATCACTTTGGGCTCAATGCCATTGGATACCTTCAGAATAAATTAATACTGTTCAGTGTTGAAGACGCCAAATTATCAAAATGCACCAGTTCACCACAAGACTGATCTGTACAGCAAGTTTCATCTAGAAATTGTCAACAGTTTTGAAGTTATATTAATAAAACTGAAAAGATGGAAAGAAAGTGACATGTTGACAAGTATTTTATCCAGCCCATTCACCCACCCATTTCTTTATACCGAGAGGATACTAATACTAACTTACAAGCTTATTTATCAAAATGCAGCATCGAGGTAGTAAATATGAATGGTTACACCTTGGATGTATCCTTCTAAACTTCAACTGATTTTCATATAGTTTGTCATTAATGCTACTTTCAGCAATACTAACTCTCTAGTAATAGGTGTGTGAACTTACTCTTGTTTGGCAAAATGTGATAACATTGAGCATTTCTTTGTGTCCATACTATTTAAAAAACATTAAAAATCATTTTATAGCCATGAAAAAATGTGAGCACTGGGTAGTGTGATTCATAAATACATGTTTATGATAAGTCAGAATTGTAAAATAAACTCTGAAATAGTCAGAAACAGTTTTGTAGCCTTTTTAATGTATACAATTTATGTAGAGATTTTGCTGCATGGATACAAAAACTCACTGCATGATGGCAAAGCATTAAAGAAATCATTGAAACAAGTCGACGTAAACCCTTGGCAATAGTCAAATCTAATGGTTTCAATTTTCTTCATTGTTTCCACCTATCAATGCCGATATAAATACTAGTATACTAGTAACTATATTTTCTTACTTTGAAAATTTGCAACTCTTTGTTGCCAATATGTAACCAGCCCTAACATGGAGTTCTGTACTCCCTGCCTTTGTATACCTATCTGAAATGAATAAAAATAAAAATAAAAACCAAAAAATGCCGATATAAATAATATTTCAACCCAGATGGGTAACCCAACACATATACATCCACATTGAGAATGGAGGCACATAATACTGTTATTTCCATTGATTGCTTGAATAATTAATGCTATTTCAATGCTCCTGTGGAATGTATGTACATTCGAGTCACTTTTATGAAATAAAATAAAATTAAATTTAAATAGTTTTTTAATGTGAGGTTTACAAGTTTATAGTCATGTTACATTGGAAAGAAGATGACTGACTGACTGACTGAGTTTGGTTTTACGCCGCTTTTAGCAATATTCCAGCAATATCAGGGCGGGGGACACCAGAAATGGGCCTCACACATTGTACCCATGTGGGGATTCGAACCCGGGTCTTTGGCGTGACGAGCCAACGCTTTAACCACTAGGCTACCCCACCGCCCCAAAAGAAGATGACAAAACTGGATTTCATTTGTGTCTCGATGACATGTTTCGCACGCGTTTTTTACAAGAGAGTTTTCTTGAAAAGATGGAAGCACTTGTGGACGATTTCCATCTTCTTTGGAATCCCCCGAGAATTACACAAGCACTAAAAAGGACAGAAGCATTGTTTCTGATCATATGCACCTTCAATGTTGAACTAAGCAGACATTTCCATAAGTCAGTTTCATGGCTAGCCCATACATGAATATCCTCCCTTCAACCCTTCCAGGTGAAAGAGTGAAAAATGCATATCCGAAGTATGGACACAATCAAGAGTTACGGCTGACAAGTGACAGTGCCCACAATAGATCAACAAATCTCTAACAATCACCTTCCAGTGATTGGCTATTGAGTAATGGTGACCGATAATTGTAATCTCCAGAAGTTCAGAAAAAACTTCGGAAATATCTTCCATCATGTTTATTGTGTCAGCCATGTCCTGTGTTTGATCTGTACATAATATTACGAGCTGTCACTGTGCCTAACTGAGGTAGTTTGTAAGACATTATTTTCACCTATGATGGTATTATCTGAATCTATTTGTGTTTGAACTTACAATAAAACAAATTCCTGTACATACACTCATGTCACCTCGACTACTGGTATTCTATTCCATGTTACAGTTAAATGTGCAAAATTAAACTGTAACAAATTGTGAGAAATTTAAAATAGTGACATAAAACATTACAAGAATTAACGTCTCCTTTGTGCGAGTTCATCAGAGTATTTATGTTTGATTTAACACAAATACCAACTTAATCCCATGGAAACATTTACAATTAGGCTCAGATTCTGAGCAGAAACAGTGCTTTGTCATCTCCAATGGAATGGAAATTACAAAATTTCTCAAATATTTGCCAACTGACTTAACTTTTCTACCATATATACATAAGAAGCAAGCTGTTACAAGTGCTACTGGTTAACTGAGAACATAGAATCAGTGATATTTTAAACTAAATGTGGTTATTGGATTTCATAGCACAATCACATTACAAGATATGGACAAGACAATGCATTTGTTAGGAAGGAAACACTCTTGAATGTTTAGTGGTTTATATGCAGAGATGCCAACCCCAAAGTGTTGCAAATAGTAGTTTCAAGGATCAAAATTAGAAGTTTGACCATAAAATTAGTAGTAAACTAAATTCTTAAAATCATGATGGATTCTGAGAAAGATACATGTAATATGACACTAATCAAGAGTCAAGCTTTAATTTCACATACCTCCAACGGCAAATTTCCAAATTATCAGCATTACATTTCTTCTTGTCTCTTTTTGGAGAAAATGTATTTATTGATAAAAATATATGTTTTTGTCTGTATATATCCTTTTTTTAATGAATTTTCTTCAAATTTCGCAGTATTTCTAGTGCAATCGTATAGGCGTAGTTTGAGGCTAAAAGTCATAGCGACTACGATAAATTCGTAGAGGTTAGCATCTTTGTATATGCCATAGCAATCTACAATTCTCGAAACCATCAGTTACCATGGTAACATTGCCCAGTAGCATGAAACACAATACAATATTCAGTTTATTGTGACTGACATTATGGTATTAAAACTGTCCTGTCCAGTACATACACTATCCACACATTAATTTTTACTCAACAGAGGATGTTACATAGTATTGATTACACAATTTCCCTTGAAACAAAGATAGGAATGCACATATACTTGAATGAATTCAAATTCAATCCTGAGTAATCATCAATTAGTTTAGATGATACTGTACTAAGCAGTAATGTATTAGCAACAATTCCTCTGACCCAACACTTAATACAATGACATTCAAAAAACAACCTTGGGTAAATGATACCACACTGATCTCCGACAAAGCATCTGCTTATCGCTCTTGCAGACAGTTCCTAATACTGTCACCATCACTAACAGTCAATCATCTTGTGTGAGGAGATGACATCTAGGGACCATCCAGTTAATATTTTTGGGGAACAGCCTGGGATTTTAATAAAAAGACAAAATCCCTTTTTAGATACTGCTTTATGACGCCCAGTTTTTATTTCTGTGTTTTTCAATATTTTGTCAAAACAAGATGTGGACTTTCTAAAAGTCAACCCATCCTACCCCAGCCATATCAATGGTTGCTCCCTCCAGATGTCATTGTGCATACACACAAATGACCAACAGACTTTTGTCCCATGAGTGACAACTCCTGCTATATAATTTCCAGCACACATTAATTTTTCACATGATTTGATAAAAATAATGGCACACCAATCGCATTTCTTACTTTAATTCCCCCTAGAAAAATAAAATGTGTACAAAATTATTGGGTATGGACTTGAGTCATACTCTAGAAAAAAGTAACCAATTTAGTAAATGTGATCTTGGTTTAAGGTTTGAGCAGTCTTTCAGTTTGAAGAAAGGGTAATCAGCTTGATGTGGGAAAGAGTTTGAAGTGATGCAGATCACAAACATTTTTAAACCAGCAAGCACAGGCATGGTGCTAACAAACCAAGAAGCTTATGAGTGCACCAGGATTTGAACCCTCTATCATAACTCTCTGACACATGAAAGGGAAATAACTCTCTACAGTGAATTGCAGCATCTCTGACAACTGTACAATCTTTGCTAATAACTAATTAAGGATTTATGAGGAATCTGTTTAGGACTGTGACACATGATTCAGGGTACCTTGTTTTTTCACTTTAAAACCTATGGAGAAAAGGACACAAGTCCTTCAACTTGCTCTAACTGGGACCAACATGGTACATTTTGTGTGACAGCCAATACAATGTGAGAATGCTAGTGGCTCCCCTCCCAGTGAGATAATGTGTTTCTCCACTTAGTTGGAAGACTCGGTGAACTTCTTGTATGCTGTCTCATCCATCATGGCCTTCAGTTCACTGGGGTCTGACAGCTCCAGCTTGTACAACCAGCCTGACAACGGAAGGAAAATAGGGAGTCAGGTTTAACACTGTTTTGAGCAGCAGTTTGTTTAGATATAAGGTGAGGTGAGGTGAAAGTGGGTTTAACGTCGTACTTGAGAATATTTCGCTCATATGACGACGTGCATGCATGTGTTTGTGTATGTGCGCCTGCTTGTACTAGCCCAGACTTAAGCTGGTTTTATAGTGCTTGACCACTGAGATACCATGCCGCAGTGAAGCATGAGTACCCCACTCAGACACATTATACTGACTTTGAGCCGACCAGTCCTTGTTGTACCCATTAATGCCGAGCGCCAGGCAGGGACCAGCAAGTACCATATTTTAATGTCTTTTGGTATGACGCGGTCGGTTATTACTGCGACCTTCCGCTCTCCAGGCGGACGCTCTAACCACTACACCACGGAGGCGGTCTGTTTAGATATAAGCTTGAGGTAGAAGTAAATCTTGAACTGATGTTTGTTTGTTGTTTAACGGCACACTCAGAGATATTCCATACATATGGTGGCGGTCTTGACCAGACAATCCAGTGATTAACAGCATGAGCATTTTGGGAGTGAGTGAGTTTAGTTTTACGCCTCACTCAGCAATATTCCAGCTATATGGCGGAGGTCTGTAAATAATCGAGTCTGGACCAGACAATCCAGTGATCGACAGCATGAGCATCGATCTGCGCAATTGTGAACTGATGACATGTGTCAACCAAGCCAGTGAGCCTGACCACCCGGTCCCGTTATTCGCTTCTTAGGAGGATACGTTTGGGATACGGATGTGTCAACCAAGTCAGCCAGCCTGACCACCCATTCCCGTTAGTTGCCTCTTACGACAAACATGGGTTACTGAAGACCAATTCTAACTTGGGTCTCTTGAACTGATAAGGACTATGTCATACAATTAATCAAGTCATGGAGCCCAACGCTCCATTCACAGGTCTTTTTATGACCAGCATAGGTGCTATAGTGCAGTAGTAAACTCACCCTTATCATATGGAGAATCATTGATGAGGCGGGGCTTGTCTTCAACCAGATGATTGACAGCTGTCACTATGCCACTGACAGGACTAAACACCTCACTGGCTGCCTTAACACTCTCCAGACTGCCACACTCGTCTGAAACCAACCACCGTAACCTTAACAAATATTTGAACTAACCTGTAGAGGTTTCAGATTCTGTGAATATATTCCTCCTTGGGGTACTTATAAGCATTTAAATGTCCATTTAAAATCCCTACGACAGTTGTAACAATATTTGAATAAAATATTTACAAAACAAAAAACCACGTTTTGTCTTGTGAGACCACCCTTGAAGGGCCCTACGGCCCCCTACAGCCAAGAGCAGGTAACTCTAGACTATAACCTCGTACCTCACTTTCCATGCTGAACGAAATCAGACAGAATGTGGGGAGGTGGGCGGGCGTACCCCAAGGAGGAATATATTCAAAGAATCTGAAACCTCTACAGGTTAGTTCGATTCTTTTTTATATATTCCTCGTTGGGATACTTATAAGCATAAGACAGACTCCTAAAGACGGAGATATGGAGTGGCATTCTGTCTGCAAAAAACACACCCGACAAGAAGTGGAATTTCCCAAGCTAAAAATAGCAGAAAAAAGCTCACTTACCCGGTCACGTGTCCACCATAGCCAATCAGGCGGGGGCATGAGCCAGGGTCAGGGTCGAACACATTACGATTACAAAGGTAATGACGGATGAACGTACTCGGATGGCTCCAAATAGCCGCGGAGCAGATCTCCTCAATGGGCAGGGCTGCAGCGTAAGCTTTCGACGTAGTAACTGCCCTAACCGAATGAGCTTTCAAACCTGCAGGCGGGATACGACCTGTGTGAGTATAGCTCATATGTATGGCAGAGACAAGCCACCTAGATATGGTTTGCTTGGTCGCCGGAAGACCAGCCTTGACCCCGCCATAACAACAAAACAATTGGTTATCCTTACGGATACCCCTTGTCTGCTTGATATAAGCCTTAAGGGTCTTACGGACATCTAAGATGTGAGCACGTCGTAGAGAGGTACCGGGCAGGGGAGGCTGAGTGAAAGCCGGGAGCTCAATAGGCGCTGTCACATGAAAGGCACTATCCTTCTTAGGGCGGTAAGTATCAGGCAGCCGTATGCTAACTCTGTCTTGGTGGAAAACAGTGAGTGCGGGATCGGCCGACATTGCGTGAATATCGCCTACCCGCCTGCCTGAAGTTACCGCCACAAGAAAAGCCGTCTTCCACGTTAACAGCTGGAGGGAAAGAGCGACAGATTGTGAAATAGTGGACCGGACAGCCAATTAAGAACGATTGGCAAGTCCCACGGGGGACTAATCCCCCGGACAACCGGACGGATTCTGTCCACGCCTGCTAAAAAGCGCTGCACAAGAGGGTGCTGCCCCAAGAGTGCACCGTCAACAGGAATATGGAAAGCCGAAATAGCCGTAGAATAACCTCGAACAGTTGAAGCCGCTAGACCGGCATCCAACCGAGACTGGAGGAATTCCAACACAGAGACTAAATCTGCAGAAAAGGGATCAAGAATCCCCCCTGTTGACACACCAGCGCGCATAACAGGCCCATCTATCCTCATACTGAACATCTGTCGAATCCCTCCGCGAAGCCAGAATTGTGTCTGCAACTGGTGCAGGAATTCCGCTCGCTTGGAGGCGATCCCGGACAGCGGCCAAGCCACCCACTGAATCCTGGGATTCGGGTGGGGCGCTCCGTTCTGGGATAGGAGGTCCGGTCGAAAAGGTAATAGAACAGGAGGCTGAGCCAGAAACCTGATGATTACCGGAAACCAACTTTGAGCCGACCAAAGGGGTGCAAGAAGCACAAGTAGCCGAGCTGGTTGCGCGGTCAGCTGAGACAGGACCCTGGGAATCAGTGGTATCGGTGGGAACGCCCACAGTACCCTGCCCGTCCAATCTAGCTGAAAAGCGTCGTTGGCTAGCACCCTCGGATCCGGAATCCGAGAGCAAAACACAGGAATCTGGTTCGTCACCCCAGACGCAAACAGATCCACCTGGAACGACCCGAACAACTGGGAGATAATCCCGAATATCCCCCAGTCGAGCAGCCACTCGTGCGGGGCTAGTATACACCGTGAGAGAGCATCCGCACGCACGTTGTCTACCCCCGGGAGATAAACAGGCAAAACCCGAATGTTGAACTGATCGCACCTGAGTAGAAACTGCCACGCTTCCTGAAGGAGTACGGAGTGCCGCCTTGCTTGAGGATGTAAGTCATGGCCGTTTGATTGTCCATCTCTAGACGAATCACATGGCCCCGAACCAACTCCCGAAGCTCTCGAACACCCGGCGGACTGCTCTCAGTTCTAACACATTGATGTGCAGGCTGACTTCCCGCTCTGACCATAGGCCTGAGACTGAGTGTTCGCCCAGAGGGAAGGTGTCGGGGTGTCTAGGGGAATCCCCCTGGACAAATTCCCGACGTCCGTCCACCACCGCAAGTGAGGAATTAACCACTCGGGCGTCGCGAGAATAGTCTCGTAGCACTGCGAGTGGGACCACAGCTGCGCCAACGCTTGCTGAACGTGTCTCATCCTCAGACGCGCACGCCAAATCACATCCACTGTCGCCGCCATGTTGCCTAGCAACCGAAGCCATGTTCGAGCTGACGCATAGGGGGACTCGAGAAACTGTAACACAGTCCTCTGGACTTTGACGATACGGTCCGGAGCGAGGGAAACAATCCCCAGCTCCGTGTTGAATCGTGCCCCCCAAGAACACCAGATCCTGCGTCGGAACGAGGTCTGATTTCTTGAGGTTGATAATCCAGCCCAGTGACACCAGAATATCCATCACACACAGTGTGGAAGCTCTGCTTAACTGAGGACCTAAGGCCCTGAGAAGCCAATCATCCAGGTACGGGTAACAACACCTGCCCTGAGACCTGGCTAACTGAGCTGGGATTAGCATAAGTTTGGTGAACACCCTTGGCGCTGTAGAGATGCCGGGGGGGAGCACACGAAACTGGTAGCACGTCCCGTCGAAGGAGAACCTGAGGTACTTCTTGAACTCGGGGTGCATTGGAACATGGAGGTATGCGTCTTTGAGATCGATTGACGTAAGCCAATCCCCTGTCTCGACGGATGAGATCACTGACCTGAGTGTCTCCATCCTGAAAGACGGCACCTCTAGTAACTTGTTCAGCCCTCTGAGATTCAGAATGGGTCTGAACCCTCCGTCCTTGGTCACTAGGAAGTAAGTGGAATAAAACCCCTCTCCTTGCTGACCCACAGGAACCACCTCGATGGCTGCCTTGTCCAGTAAGGACTGAACTTCGGCACGGAGTACGTCCGCCTTCATCCGGGGAGCCGGCACTGGAGTGTGCCGAACCCCGGAGAATGACGTTGGATCTCGCCTCCACTGTGGCAAATGGCCATCCCTGAGTGTGGACAGGACCCAGGGATTTGAAGTGGCTGCCTCCCACTCCCGAAGGAATAGTGACAACCAGCCGCCGACAGGGATGTTTGGCAGAAGGCAATGCAACCCCACAGGCGGCAAGTCTCCGCTTGCGTGTGTGGGGGCAAAAGGGATCCGGGAGAAGACTCAACGGGAAGCCGGGGCTGGCTTCCCCCTGCCCCGAAAAGGCTGCTGTGACTGAGCAGGCCTGCCCTTGCCTCTAGCTCTCTTACTCCGCTTGGCTTGCAAAGGGGCAGTCCACTTTGCAGGCTCCTTCGCCGGGGCAGAAGGATATGCGGCAGTAAGAGGGGATGGCCGTTGGCGATGAATGGAGGGCTGTTCCAACAAAGGCTTAGAGTCTTTGAAGGTAGACACCGCCTCCGCAGCCTCCCGCACAACCTGCAGTGCCCCAGGCAACAGGGAGGACCCCATTGTAAACGGCAGAGACAGGAGCACCTGTTGCGTGGCTGGAGAATAGCGCGCCACTGACAACCAAAGCCGACGCATGCCCATAACGGCACCCATCATCTGGCTGGCACAGCACCTAATACTGTCCCGAGCCAGATGAGAGTGAAGGCCCGTGAGCTGATGCGCGAGCACGGGAGCCAACAAGTCGGCACCACAAGTGCTCTGATCCACCATCTGACCCTGTAACGCCGACAGGTAAGCTGAGTGAACGGCCACTTTTAACTGCTGGGCTGCACATCGGTAACACTCCTCAAAGGACCGGTAAGCAGCCTTCAGCGTAGGCGCATTGGTGGGAAAAGGGGGGAGCCGCCTGCCCTGCCTGGCTAAGGCCAGGGAAGACGTGGACGACCCCCCGAGGATAACAGAGGCAAAAACACATTCGTCCACCACTGGCGGCTCGAAAAGCGCATCCTCTCCCAACTGGTACCTTTTGCCAACGTCAGGTAAATCAAACCTAGTACGGGCACCCGTAAGGAGAGGATTAACAACCTCACTCACCAGTGATGGCAAAATGCGTAAGCGGACCTCGGCGACCTGGCTGGCCGCGAAAGCCTCCCCCGGGAGCCGAAACTCCGCGGGATCGGCCATGGAAACAGCATGGGAACAGCCACCTGGGGCAGTACTTCAGCGATCCTATCGCGAACCTGCCGCAGGGACGACCGAAAAAGGAGTACGGAACCCCAACCTCCGACTCCTCTCTCCCTTCATCCTCCTCCATATCAACCTCGGCACAATCCTCGGCTGCCGTACTCTCATAATCAAGAGAGACCACCGAGGGTACGACAGAGGCCGAACACGAAGGACTTAAAAGGTCAAGAGGAGCCAGAAGTGTCAAGTCGCCCTGCCGGGTGGAACCCAGACCAGGGCGCCGAGGTGCCCAAGAGGAACCTGCCGAGACAGGTTTCCCGGGCAACCCAGACTGACCACTAAACGCCGAGGTGTCCCCGAAGCTTGGGCGGCGCCGAGGCGACCGTCAGTCAGGGCACCAGGCGAAGACAGGGCAAACCCTGCATCGCCAGCGCCAGGCGCCCGTGATGAACCTGAGCCCGAAGCTAGGTCGCCACAAGGCGCCGAAGGCACACTATCACCATAGCCGAAGCCAGGATCAAGCTGCCCGGGGGGAGGCGCGTTCCCCGAGCCCGGGCCGCAGCCAACCCCCCCAGATGCGTCTGATCCACCCCCGACGACAGGCGTGTTGAGCTCCTTGCGGAACCCAGACAGCGCCGTGTCAATCAGTGATTTCACAGACAACATCTGTTCCTGAAAAAAATGAGTTAAGGCATCAAATGGAACAGTGGGTGCCGAATCAACAGGAGGTGCGGTGGATACAGGTACAGGGGTAGATACAGGAGGAGATTTTACAGGCTTAGCAGAGGAAGCCTCCTTGGTAACCTTCGCCCGTTTGTGAGCCGATTCCGTATGGGAGGCGGCTCCCGGAGACCCCCTTTTTTTATGAGATCGCTTGGGACGGGGATCCTGAGCCCAGATATCACCCCCCGACCGAAGCAAATTGCTGTAAAACAGCTTATCCACCCTCCTGGCCTTAATAGTTTGAGGGGTAAAAAGAGCACACGCCGAACAACCCGTCTCTCATGATCGGCCTCCATCAGGCATCGTAAGCACACCTTGTGAGTGTCCTTCATGGGTATAGCAGCGAGGCATGAAGTACAGGATTTTAACTGCAACAAGTTGATAAAAACCGTGCAGTAACCTACCCATACACACATAGATATATGAAAAAACATGCATGGGCGACCACACTAATGCGATAATAACAAGTAAGACACACTGCAACATAACTAACAATTACGACTGAAAGCGTAAATATAGAGAATGCTATCAGCGGAAACAACGCCCCACATGTAATAACATACAATTAAAAACACTATAACCACACTAAACATTGCAAACCACAAGGGAAGCCAATGAACAATGAGGATAGCGAAGGAACCTGGCCGCCATCTTGACACGCACCTGGCGAGCCGACAGGGACCAAGTTACAACAAAAAAAGATGAATGAAAATATTCAGAACAAATCTCCAAATCGCCCATGCAGGGAAAAAAGAGAACCATACATACAGTAGCTGTGTCTGAAACACTCATATTCGCAGAGGAAATTAACTTCGTCGAAGTGGACCCACGTCTAGTCGGGGAAACGACAGCATGGAAAGTGAGGTACGAGGTTATAGTCTAGAGTTACCTGCTCTTGGCTGTAGGGGGCCGTAGGGCCCTGTAAGGGTGGTCTCACAAGACAAAACGTAGTTTTTTGTTTTGTAAATATTTTATTCAAATATTGTTACAACTGTCGTAGGGATTTTAAATGGACATTTAAATGCTTATAAGTACCCCAAGGAGGAATATATAAAAAAGAATCAAACAATGTTCAGAGCTCAAAATTCCTCGTACTTAAAAGCCAGTAAGATTGTTAAAAACTCAACAGCAAGGATAAAACAAGTTCCTGAAATGCATTAAAGAATAAACTATAAATCATTTCTGTTTCTATGAAAAATAAATTTTAATGATTTTCCTGTTACAAATTGTAAGTGTGTGATAAATGTACTTTCACACAAGTCAACTCAAAAAACTGCCTTGATAAACATCCTTGTAACCATGGAAAATACCCTACATTTTCACAAGGCTTGGAACTATTGGATAGTATTCTTGTTCAACCATTTGGGGATTTCAGGTGGATATATAAAAAAAATATTAAATACTCTAGAACTATTAATTTGAAGGATTGGTTGGTTGGATAGTTGGTTGGTTGGTTATTTAATGCAGAGCTCAGTAATAACTAATATGAAGGAAAATAGAGACTGAAATATGCTGATATTGAATAGGAAAATTTATGGAATTTATGCAAAATCTGCCCCTACAACACACCACTAGTCTGGCCATATATCAGCTGATGACCTGCCAGCACTAAGTGACTCATTGATACAAGCATGATAAGGCACACACATAGTACCCTGTACCATGCCTTATCAAGCCTATCACTATAGAGCCTCACTCAACTTTAACAACATAATCAATACAATATTACCATCCACTACAAGAAGGCTGGTCCAAAGCATTCTTTATGTTTCAATTAAAAATATATTGTTTAAAGAAAATCTTGTTTGTTTATCAGACATTGATGCATTATTATTTTTAATAATGCAACACATTATGAGATTCACATGTCACATCATTTTTGCTGACTCATTCCATGACAATGTACAACAGGTTTCTGTGGAATATCTAGACTTGCAAACTAATCGTCATTGGCAACCAAATTCGAAAACTGGTTATTCTGGTCAAATTGTGTGTCCTTACTTTCTTAAATTCAGAGACCTTTTAACATTGTGAGTATTACCATTACAGTTGATGCAATAATAATGTAAAACTACAAGCATTATAGCATCTACATAGCCATTACATAGCCATAGTCATATACAAGTGTATACATTCTAGCCCACGCCATTGTGCCATTCACACACTGACATTTAACGTGGTGCACTGTACAGGTATGGTATGGGGGGGCGGTGGGGTAGCCTAATGGTTAAAGCGTTGGCTCGTCACGCCGACGACCCGGGTTCAAATCCCCACATGGGCACAATGTGTGAAGCCCATTTCTGGTGTCCCCAGCCGTGATATTGCTGGAATATTGCTTAAAGCGGCGTAAAACCAAACTCAGTCAGTCAGTATGGCATGGCACATCCATAAATGGAAATCTAAAACACATTACGAGTTTGTTTTCGCTTGGCAACTCAACCAAGACTTATGTAGGTATTTGAAAAACAACAATACACCTATTCTCGCAGATACAGGTTTTGAGTACTCTGAACTTGAGTACTTATCAATTTCAACCCATTTTGAATGACAGTGCAAAAGCTGCAAAGAGGTGGATAAAGAAGCAAGGGGCTTATTGAGTGAGTGAGTGAGTGAGTGAGTGAGTGAGTGAGTGAGTGAGGATGTGTATGCATGGGTGGTAGGATGTATGGATTGATTTGGATGGATATACAAGGGTGGAAGGGATTATGAGTTGGTTGGTTGGTTTGAGGTGTGAAGAGTGAGCGAGTTTAGTGTTACGGTTTTACGCCACTTTTAGCAATAAGCCAGAAAATATCATGGCAGGGGACACCAGAAATATGCTTCACATAAGGTACCCATGTGGAGAATCAAACCCAGGTCTTCAGCGACGAGTGAACACTTTAACCACTACGCTACCCCACTGCCCTGAGATGTGAAGAGTTACTGAACACCCTTACCGTCCTTGGTTAACTCTTGACTGATCTCAGGTAACTGCACTTACACCACCTCCCCCAACAAATCCTGCAAACATACAACATTCAGTCAGCAAAATCTCTCTCTTTCTGGACACCAGATCAGATGTTTGTCATAACAGTGGTCTCTGTGTACTGAAAACAAAACATAGCGTTATGCATTAAATGTTGCCACACTCAGCAATATTTAATCTCTTTGATGACAGTCTGTATATAATCTGTCTGGGCTAGACAATCCAGTGATTGATGTCATGAGCACTAATCAACTTAATTCTGTTCCAGTGACAATTAACCAACCAAGTCCAAGACTTTGACCACCTATGACCACCCTGACAAGCAAAGGTAGCTGATGACTGGTATTCTTTGAAGCTGCACTGACAATTAGATAGTCTGCAAATGATAAAACCCAAGCAGGCTATGGGAAGTTTTTCCTTGTGGTATTGTATATTTAGACTGTGTCAACAATGTTGCAGTGCCCGAGAGATTAATCTACAGAGAGGATTATCATTCTGTTTTTGCTGCCAAAAGACAGAAAATATTCAAATCTTAGATCTGGAAAAATAGTAATGATCATTGTTGTAGAGATGGCATAACTTGAGTTTAGATGAAGGGGGATCATCTTCAACATGTAACCATTAAATGGTCAACCATAAAGAGACAGAGACACATTCCTGGCAATAGCTGTACTGTGCTTCTAGTCTACCAGTTGTGCTACCTGCTTGCCTGTTTCCACAAATAACTGTCTTATTAATGTGATTAATGAAACTATGGGACAACGTCAGTGAAATACCCTAGCCCACATTTGGGTGAAAAAGAATTAAAATTGTGACAACAGCATCCAAATGTGTGTCAACACCATATTGTAAACAAATTGTGTCAATGTCAGTTTCACATGTGTTACATATGATATAAAAATATATATTATATATGTATATTATAGCAATTATTCATGTGAATTGTACTTTTATCACATTAGTGTAATTCATTCCAATCTATCAACTGTAACTTGATATGTCATCCGTAGTGTCATCTGCACTTTTATTTGATAAGTCTGGCTGCAGTTATCCTGGCATCTGGACAACCACACATGCTCTGAAAGTGCATTTTGTCACTTTGATGATGTCACGTCAAACAGCTAAACCATAATCAGTAAAGAATAGAGTTGCCCATTGTGGTTATATCATGGCATGTCTCACCTGAGCATAGTCTGAGATTTCCAAATGTCTCATCTTAGCATAGTCTGAGATTCCTACTGTCTCACCTGAGCATAGTCTGAGATTCCTACTGTCTCACCTGAGCACAGTCTGAGATTCCTACTGTCTCACCTGAGCATAATCTGAGATTCCTACAGTCTCACCTGAGCATAGTCTGAGATTCCTACTGTCTCACCTGAGCATAATCTGAGATTCCTACAGTCTCATCTGAGCATAGTCTGAGATTCCTACTGTCTCACATGAGCAGTCTGAGATTCCCACTGTCTCACCTGAGCATAGTCTGAGATTCCTACAGTCTCACCTGAGCATAGTCTGAGATTCCTACTGTGCCTATGTTCTTCTCCACTGCAACCCACTCATGTTTGTCTGTGTAATATCGATCTGAAGACAAAGAATTATACATTCTCAGTGACTCTAATCAGGGTGAATAACCAACACAACCACTCTAAGCCTTCTCATAAAAACATTTGCATGAATGTTGTTTTATGCTACAGCAAGCAATTTCTTCCTTTCAACATGACAGCCTACAATTATCAAAATCTTCCAGAAACCTATGATTCCATCATGGCTACCAATATATCACACCTAGTGAGTGAGTTTAGTTTTACACCGCACTCAGCAATATTCCATCTATATGGCAGCAGTCTGTAAATAATCGAGTCTGGACCAGACAATCCAGTGATCAACAGCATGGGTATCGATCTACGTAATTGGGATACGATGACATGTATCAACCAAGCCAGGGAGCCTGACCATCCGATCCTGTTAGTCGCCTCTTACGACAAGCATGGGTCCTTGAAGATCAATTCTAACTGGATCTTCATGGGTCTATCACACCTAGAAACCATTTGTTTTCAAAGGAAGCTTTCGATGATATTTACCGGTACTATCAGATCATGTGAAGCCAGTGATGAAGCTATTTAACTGGACAAATGCATGGAAACAAAACATGTTTGAGATCCACAAGGTGGATGTACTTGTATCCTTGTCAGTTACAGTCAGACCTCGTTTATGCGAACTTCAGATACCTCGGTTTCCGAACATTCTTCACAAAAAGCCAAATTTTCTAGTTAAATTTACCTCGTATATCCGAATGTTCGGTTTCTATATCCGAACGGTCAATTTTGGTAACCAAACAGCAAAAAATGTACAAATTTGCCTCGTATATCCGAACACCAAGGCTGTCGTAGGCAAGATGTCTGATGTTTACGGCTCCTCAACAGTGCTCACTGCATTGACCTTTGATCAATCCTATATCAAAACCCAAGGTCTGTTGTCGGCGAGGTATCAAAACACGATGTCTACCGCTTGTCAAAACATTGTGCTGGCTGCTAGTTAATTCATTGTTTATTGAATATTTATCACAGGGCGTGTAGGTTAATTAGAGAAGAAACAATTAAAGTTTGACATTGAGTGGACACTGATTCGAATCGTTGATTGAGGCTGGCTCATGCGTTTCAAAGATCGTCATAGTATCAACAAAAATGAATTTCCAAGGTGAAGCAGTGGTGCCGACAAATAATCACTGTAGCATTGTGTGCTTATTCAACTGGAACTGTAAAAATCAAACCTTTTGTTATTGGCAAATCCCATAGGCCTAGATGTTTTGATAGCAATTTCAATCCTGAGATATATGCTAGATATCGAAACAACACAAAGGCGTGGATGACAGCAGAGCTGTTTCGTGATTGGCTGCTGTCTTTTGATTGACAGATGAGGTCACGTGGAAGGCGGGTCATTTTGCTTGTGACAATGCGGCTTGTCACAACTGTAAAAAGTCTGAAACTGACCAGCGTGACTGTCCATTTCCTGCCACCCAACACAACCGCACACATTCAGCCAATGGATGCAGGGATCATACGGACATTTTAAGTTGTTTTGTTTTCACATGTAGCCGACCGCCTAGGTCCTGATTCAGATATCCGAATGATTCGTTTGTCTGAACAATTCAATAAAAAACCGAAGTTTTCGGATAAACGAGGTCTGACTGTATATTCATACAGCTAATCTCTTTTGGAAACATGCACAATTGTCAAGATTTGAAAAATTATCTGATCTTGTATTAGAATACCAAACATAAAAACACATACTGATATTTGCAGTGGTTACATAACCTTGCTTGAATACAATTTTGCACTAAAACATTTTTAATTCTCTTTCAATTACTGTGCATCAAAAATGTCAAACGAAACAACAATAATCTAGCTCCATATTCCCCTATTTACAGGCTGTCAAGCAGGTTCAACTACTACATGGCCTAGTTCATTTTGACATTTCCAAGGTTTATCTACAAATTACTACCCACTGTAGTTAATGCAAATCTACAACCTCCTCATAAAGTTATATCTTGACAAAAGGACAGCTCTGAAAAGTTGTACCAAGCTCTAGAGAAGCTACTTGTGTAAAATATAAAAATAAATCACCATTACCTACAGTCTGTTTGACTAGAAAGTGTCCCCATGAATTGCTAAATATATCAGTTTAGAAAGGTAGTTAATAAATATTACGAGGCCATATGTGCAGAGTCATAAGAACAGGCGTTATGTGGATCCTAGAGGGAACTTTGCTGACAAATCGAGCTGCAGAGTTTTGTACTTTCTGGAATTTTGATAGAAGTTTTTCGGAAAGCCCACAGAAGATGCTATTACAGTAGTCAATCTTTGGAAGAACCAGAGATTGCACTACAGCATGAGACTCTGAGAGTGTGGGTTCGAATCCCGAATGGGACTCAACCCAACAAAAGTACTAGAATCTGTACTTTACTGAGAAAGTGTAATCCCAAATATAAAATGTGTTATATTTGACCACTTTCTAAATGGCATTGTGTATATACACATTCAATCAGCCAAAAGAATACTAATCCTAGAAAGGGTAAATCGTATCAATGGGTACCATAAGCCAAACTTTGCATGAGCAGTAGGGTGTGTTCTGTATGTATATGTATTTAAAAATGATTTTTTGAAAAAACAAACAACATCTCCATATTCAAAATCAAAGCATGGTAGGATCATCTGATTCTACATAATCTCCCTGCTTCAATGACCTTCCATAACGAACATAGTCTGTCTCACAGTCCCTGAATCACAATATTTTCCCGAATGCCTAACCCTCCCTGCAATGCTAATGCCCTGAACATGCTAAATAAAGCAAGTCTCTACTTTCCCAGGTTCTCCCAACTGACTGGGGCTCCTTTTCAATTTAAATGGGTTTATTTGTTACTATCAAAATTATATATATTCAGGGACTAAGTGTTAGCCTATAACAAACAGTGAATGGTCAGGAATGAAATTAGTGAGAATTCAGGGTATTTGATGATTGATTGGGTACTTCTTATCACAGGTGCAGGATGGGTAACTGTAAGGATAATGTGGATGTCATGAGTGAGTGAGTGAGTTTGATTTTATGCCGCTTTTAGCAATATTCCAGCAATATCACGGCAGGGGACACCAGAAATGGGCTTCACACATTTTACCAATGTGGGGAATCGAACCCGGGCCTTCGGCGGGATGAGCAAACGCTTTACCCACGAGGCTACCCCACAGCCCCGCATGGTCATTATGATAGTAAGGAGCATATAGAGGTATTAGCGAGTGAGTGAGTGAGTTTAGTTTTACGTCTCGCTCGGCAATATTCCAGCTATGTGGCGGCGGTCTGTAAATAATCGAGTCTGGACCAGACAATCCAGTGATCAACAGCATGAGCATTGATCACGCAATTGGGAACCGATGACATGTGTTAACCAAGCCAGTGAGCCTGACCACCCGATCCTGATAGTCGCCTCTTACGACAAGCATGGGTTTACTGAAGGTTCATTCTAACCCGAACCTTCACGGGTAGAGGTATTAGCATGGGTTCTGATGACGCCAGGGGAAGTTGGCTTCTGAATCATTACTGATGGAATGCAGTGAGTGAAAGTATCTTGGGTGGAAATTTCATGAGTTTCCTGTCGCCAGTCACAAAATTACTTCATCCTGTTCACTCAACAGTTTTTATTAGAAGATTGAACTGAAAATGTGTAAACAATAAAAAAGACAAATACCCTGACAGGTGTATTTCTTCACATGTTTTGGGTCTTATGCTCCCATGCTTGGAAATGCATTAGGCCTAATGGTGATACAACCCAATTAGACCCCTGCACAGCTCAAAGCCTCTTATCCATACTTGTTCCAAATCTAATTGATATTGTAATATAAGTCCCATGGAAAACAAATGGTAAATAAATAGTGCTTGGACTGGTGATGTTTAGATGTGCACAAGGTTGATGAATACCTAATAAACTGCATTCCTGTGCATATAATAATGAACACTGAGGAATCAAAAATATACAATATGCCAAAAGTTCTAATTATCATCTATTTCTCCTCATGATATATGTTGAAACCGAACATGAAACATTATTGATAACAAAAATTTGACTTCCCTAAACTGGTGATTTCTATAAATGTTCTGCTTTACTACTACACTCTTCACATGGCCGGCCTTATTCAAAGGCAAATATATGGTCTGTGCTGAGAGGGATATATCACTGGAGAGGGACCTCATTAACAATGGATGACTTACAAAATATCACCAGGGTATTGTGAGGTGTTTGAAAAGCACGTGGAACTGTATTCTTAAGGTACAAATAAGGCCCTAATAAAATGTGGGTCTATTCACAGCTGCATTCTAAACTGCACATTTTCAGTGTTTCTTAGTCCAGCATATCACTTGACGACTTAGCACTGATATATAACCAACACGAGTTTATTTATATGAACTAAGTGTTTCTGTGATGTGTTACTGGGTTAATAGGTCAAAACACCCTGTCCTGCTTGGCAGCTTCAAAGTCATGGTTCACATTTGAAAAACGCATATCGTATGACATTAGCAGAATAGTTTTGACAGATGCGTCCCAGCATTGCGTTATAGCGAGGTCAAAATCAAAGCTCGACATTTTCTAAATATTTCATTGAGCCAGCTGCAAAAATGTTTCATCTCGACTACCATATGGTCAGATATAACAAGGCAACTGCTAGCGTATGCTTTGTATCTATCAAAGTGTTTTCTCCAAATAAGGAACAGTACTTTCGCAGACGAGAGATACAAAGTGCCTTATTTGGAAGGGAACCTGGTAGCGCTTGCTTGGATCAAACATTTACCGACGAATTACCAGATCAGTACAATGACAGTGAAGAAAATTACCAGCCAGCAACTTCACCGATGCAGAAAAACACCTGACGTGACTGTTGATTGGAGATACCCCTCTAAAGGCAACCAAAACTCCCCTGGAACCCAGCGAGCTCAGTCTCTTCAACACACAGGCGGCCATTTTGATATCTTTATAGCACGTGACACGAGGAGCATGAAATTCAGTGAAGGGGGCCCTCTTTGGGTTCTTCCAACGGTTTATACTCAAGCAATGTGGTACTTCTAAAAAGTGAAAGCTCATTATAAATATAATTTCCCTTCCTACAATTATGCTATTTATGAACGTTTATGGTGGCACACGTCTAGCGTATAACATAACTGCACCAAAACCTACTTTTGATTTCACAAATAACTTTGTCGCCCCCCCACCCCTTTCCCCGGAATAGAATCGGATCGTTAACCCATACCTTCTGTAGTAAAAGTATCAATTCCTAATCTGAAAGTCTAGACTGTACATGTACTGTGAGTGTTGGTAATGAGCCTATTAACAGAAACTCGTGGCTTTACAGTGACAAGAGCTACAGAGTCTTGCCAAAAGTATTCGGCACTTGACGTAATTTAATTTCCATAGACTTAATTAAATGTTATTTCAGTGTAGGCACGACTCTGTAGGTTGCTTTCTGATGGTTTGAATTCACCTTCGCGATTTTTTTTTGTCCCGGGACCCGTGAAGGTCCGGGATAGAATATTCATCTTCAGTAACCCATGCTTGTCGTAAGAGGCGACTAACGGGATCAGGTGGTCAGGCTCGCTGGCTTGGTTGACACATACGTCATCGGTTCCCAATTGCGCAGATCGATGCTTATGCTGTTGATCACTGGATTGTCTGGTCCAGACTCGCTGTTGATCACTGGAATATTGCTGAGTCTGGTCCAGATTCGATTAGTTACAGACCGCCGCCATATAGCTGGAATATTGCTGAGATAACTCTTTGGGTCATTGAGTTAAGTACTCGCATGTGTTCATCTCAATTGGGTATCCTACTTTTCCTTAGAGTAACCAAATAAATTGTAGGCTACTCACCTCACTCTTGAAACTCAATTGGGTATTTTGACAGTTTCCATTAATTGTAAAAATGTAGTAAAATTTAAATGTTGGTTTACGTGTTTGTTATTCATATTTTATCAGTAATATGAGAAAGGATAAGAAAGACTGCAAGTTGTCAAGTTCATGTGCTGAAACAGAACCCCTCAATATACCTCAGCTATTTTATCTATCCTCAGTAACCGCCAACTGTAGCACATGAGTATGCTTACTCCAAATTGTGTTTGAATGCTATGATTTCCTGTCCCGTTGTTTGGACACCATATCTCAAGAAATAGTCACATGGTTATGTACTCCTAACAGCGTCGTGCGTGAAATCAGCAATGATAGTTGTTGAAACCATGCAAAGTTAGTCGATATCGGTTTTCAGATTTTAATTACAGGAACTGTAATTCACTAGTATGCAAGCTAAGATTTGACATATTTGCGTGTACACATGTAACATTCAATGTATTGAGTATTTACAAAACTTCCAGTGTACTTGTACACAATAGTCTTAATAGGAATTGAGTTTTCACATAAATATTTGCGTAATTTACACAGATCTAAGCATCTTATCTGTACCTCTGAATTCGATAATATATTACAAATTCCAGGCAGTACAAACAACATCGTTAGATGAAGGATGTTTAAGTTAAAATACAAGAGTAATTTTATTAAAACTTACTGAAATAATGTAAACATTATATCCATTTGAATAAGAATTTAGATGCCAAAAACGTTTTATCGAAGTACTGGCAAAGATAAAAAATCAAGTTACATCATAACAAAATATATATAGAACTTGAAATTAAATGTGCAGCTGATGAGAAAGAATTCAAGTTATTTGGACGTAAATTTAAGTCGTAAATGTAAATTGTGCTTATGCAGGAATATTAGTATTCCCAATGAATCTTGGTATTCATACTTCAAATCTAGAATTTGAGGATGTTACTTTGGAGTTTACGAAATCATTTTTTCTGATTTTATAACTTATCATGTCTGTTGTTGTCTGAGTGAGTGATTTAGTTTTACGCCGCTTTTAGCAATATTAAATATTCCAGCAATATCACTGCGGGGGACACCAGAAATGGGCTTTACAAATTGTGCCCATGTGGGGAATCGAACCCGAGTCTTCGGCGTGACGAGCGAACGCTTTAACCACTGGGCTACCCCACCGCCCCTTATTAATACGGAATTGAAAAGTAACTGAATATGAGGAATAAGATGACGAGACTTTTTGTGGAATTCAGACGGAATTGCATCTTTGCCGGGAGCTTATTTTGCTTTAAGGAATCAATAGCATTGATAATGTCATTCTCAGTAATGTCTTCAGACAACATTGTTGAATTGTTAAAATCTTCACAATTCATATGATCATGTTCTTAAATAAAATGCTACAGATTTGTCAAATTCACTGATTTCTGTTTCAGGACATAGCAAATCCTTAAAGTACTGATACCAAATGTGTGATGCTACTTGCTCTGTGTTTAGTTTTCAATAAGGATTTTACCGAGTGCCAGAAAGATTTACAATCGCTGAAATTAAAATTTACACGATCAGTTTCAAAGGCATTCTTTTTCTCCTTACATATTTTCCTAAACTTATTTTTACTCTGAAGAAACTTATCAAGGTTTCCTTTACAGTTATTTATTCTGAGGAGCAATTTAGCATATTTCTCTTTAGTTCAATATGGAACATTTTCGTGAACCCAGTTTTAAGGGTTGTTCATTGACAGAATTCCTGCGATCATGGTGTTTATCAGTCTTCTCAAAGTGTGCTGCAGACATTTGAATAAGTTCAACTAGGTGGTTAGCAGATTCATTTACATTCGCATCCATACACTCTAGGAATTTATAAATAATTTTGTATGGTTGTCTTGAGGTATAATTGTCAACATAAACATATTTACCTTTGTCGGACCAGATAAATTTCGTTATCGGGAAAGTACTTGACAAACTTGTTTGACAACTCACACCTAGAAATAGATTGTCTTAAACATATTTTATTCATGAGAAAAGTATTGGGTACAAGTTATACAACTTAGAACACCCTCTCCGTAAGGTTCTCGTCTTCAATAATGAAATAGATTAAATGAGAACTGGCTAGAAACAGGAACATGATCAGCTTCTGTTCTGCTATGAACAGACAGATTTATCACTTTATCAAAACAACCTGCCGACACTAAAAAGTAATCAACTAAACTTGTCCTATTTGGTCCAATATAAGTGAATGAACCATCGATGTTCTGCCATTCACAATATGTAAATCTAGCTGCTTACACAACCTTAACAATAATAGTCCATACTTGTTTACTTTTTCATCTTTTGACTATCTGGGTTCTGAAAACCCGTCAATGATGTACAGTTCTCCTAAATCAATAAATAAATTATCACTTTGGTCTTCAAGAATGAAGTCATCCTGGGATGCAGTTCGGGGATTCATGTCCCCGAAAATGACATTGTCGGTATTCTGATCGTACTCAGTTTTAATACATGCGATCTTAGCGTTGAGCTGCTCGATCCCGTTGTTGTGATATAACGGTATAACCGGGAGCCCTCGGCGAGGACGTAGACTCCGCCCAGGATGACGGTTGTGGCCTCTGACTTTAGTTCCAGGAACACATGCAGTTGCACCAGGTGTCATGAATTCTAGTCAGGTACTGCTCGTAAGATTTCCGTACATACAGCGCCACGCCTCCTGAAATCGACCAAAGTGCTAAGTTCTAGATCTACTGGCAGGTGACATGAAACATTTATATGATCATTGAATATGTATTTAATCTTTTCAATATTATGTTGCTATGTTTCAACCAGACACATTATATTGTTTTCAAAGGAAGCTTTTGCTGATATTTACCAGTACTATCAGATCAAGTGAAGCCAGTGATGAAGATATTTTTAGTTAACTAGACAAATGCATGGAAACAGTCAGAACATTTTTGGATCCACAAGTGGATGTACTTGTATCCTTGTCAATTATAAGCGTACAGAAACCTATGATTCCAACATGGCTACCCATATATCACACCTAGTGAGTGAGTTTAGTTTTACACTGCTCTCAGCAATATACCATCTATATGGCGGCGGCCTGTAAATTATCGGGTGTGGACCAGACAATCCAGTAATCAACATCATGGCCATCGATTTATGCAATTGGGAAACGATGACATGTGTCAGCCAAGTCGGACCTGACCACCCGACAGCACGGGACTCGGACATTTTATGGCCGCTACATGTTAATGCATGTTTCCGTTGTGGATGATATTAAGCAGAAGAAAAAACAACTGTAGGTTCTATTTATAATTCTCCACGTGAAAGCATAGAGAACAGGGATGGGCACGGACATTTTATGGCCGCTACATGTCCACACAGGGATTTTTAGGAAAGGCAGGGGCCATGGGCCATTTTGCACATTAGAATAAAAAATGGCCTATTAAAATTTTGAAGTTTACTATCGATACCAGGGCAGTGGCCCATTCTAACTTCAGAAAATGGTTAATAATCTTGAAAATGGCCCATTGTAAAAATTCTCTATCCCAATCCCTGTGGACCACATCGAGTGTGACATAAATGATTTGTTTATATTGTTAAGATTGCCGACGTTTCTTATCGGTTCGTCAGAGATTTCTCTATAACAGAAGAGGGGTCGGAACAGGGAGACAACTCAAAACCTTCAAGCACAACGTTAGCTGTTCTATTTTATAAACCCATGTACGGGAATTAATCAGAGACCACTGTCACAGCAAATTAAACGAAGAGACGTAAAATGACTCCCTTATTGCTTCTATCCCGGTTGCTTTTCTGCTAAATTTTCATTTAGAGGAGAGTGAGTGAGTTTGTTTTTTCGTCGCTTTTAGCAATATTCCAGCAATATCACATCGGGGGACACTAGAACTGGGCTTCACACATTGTACCCATATGGGTAATCGAAACGTGGGTCTTCGTTGTGACGAGCGAACGTTATAACCACTAGGCTACCCCACCGCCCCTCATACAGAGGAAAGAAGCTATGCTGGTGGGTTCGGACACATATATACCAGCCATAAAAAATCTAAAACAAAGTATGAGATCATGTAATATGCAAAATGATACAATCTACAC